TATCAAAGATTGCGTCGCAGCCTGACGCTAGAAAATACAACCTTGTCGCCAACCTTCGGCAATCTACCGCTAGGCGGGTGGAACATTGGTTTCTTAGTATACGACCGGAGAAATCGAGTGGCCGTATAGGTATTGAGGAGGAAACGATTATATAGGCACAAACTGTAGTGGCACGGTTTCGCTGTCGTCGTTCTGCAAGAGCGGCATGGGCGTACCAACCGGGGGGGGGGGGGGGGGAGACAAGGGCCCCCCCCCCCCCAGTTCTCAGAGGGGGGGGGGAGCAAGGCATATGTTTTGCCCCCCCTGGAACGGCGGCCACTGGGCAGGGCTAAGACTGGCTGGCGGTGCCCATGGAATACCAAGGGCCCCGCCTCCTGACCCGCGCGGGCATATTTTTAACACGCAGGCGATACAAACCCTAGCAACGGCGGTCACGCCGGATTGGCTGGTTCGTGGAGATGGGCGCTGGCGCCGTGAACATAGGCAGCGGATACAATGCGAGTTTCCGAAGCGGTAGCCTAACTTAGTGGTAAGATGTCTGCCTCATACGTATCAGACTCGGGTTCTATGCACGGTGTGGGCTTATTTCTTTTATTTTTAGAGCGCAGCTCTTAGGGGCCCGTTCCCGGCTTGAGCGGCGTCGGCGTAACCGCAACCCTCGTCACCCTCGTGAGGGTTACGAGGGCTACGAGGGTTAATCTCATGAGGGTTACCCTCACGAGGATCACGAGGGCCACGAGGGTTACTTACCCTCGTAACCCTCACGAGGGTTACGAGGGTTAGTTACCCTCAAAAGGGTTACCTTCACGAGGGTTACCCTCACGAGGGTTACTAACCCTCGTAACCCTTGTGAGGGTTACGAGGGTTAGTTACCCTCAAAAGGGTTACCTTCACGAGGGTTACCCTCACGAGGGTTACTTACCCTCGTAACCCTCACGAGGGTTAGTTACCCTCAAAAGGGTTACCTTCACGAGGGTTACCCTCACGAGGGTCACGAGGGTTATGAGAGTTACCCTCACGAGGGTCACGAGAGTTACCCTCACGAGGGTCACGAGGGTTATGAGAGTTACCCTCACGAGGGACACGAGAGTTACCCTCACGAGGGTCACGAGAGTTGCCCTCACGAGGGTTACTAGGGTTACCCTCACGAGGGTCACGATGGTTACCCAGGTCACGTGACCCCCCGTTGACGTCATAGCCACTGATGACGTCATCAGTGACGTCACTGATGACGTCACCGGCATCCGCATCGTCATCGTCATCATCACTGACGACGTCATCAGTGACGTCACTGATGACGTCACCGGCATCCGCATCGTCATCATCACTGATGGCGTCATCAGTGACGTCACTGATGACGTCATCGGCATCGTCACGTGGCCCCAGGTCACGTGACCCCCCGACGTCACGTGACGCCCCAAGGTCACGTGACTCACACAAGGTCACGTGACTCCCACAAGGTCACGTGACCCCCCGCCCCCCGAGGTCACTTGACCCACCCCCCCAGTACCCTTCCCTCCTCCTCCTCAAGAGCTGCGCTCTAATTCGGCGTTACAGGGAGTTGTAAACGGCTTTCATTTTTTTTTCCTCGAACATTTTGCTTTGTCGAGGCATTTGGCGATATTTACGACATTTTTTTTTTTCACGATTAACACTGAAAAAAAAAAGAATGTTGTTGACGAAGCATCGCTGAACAAAATCGGATGGGACTCTATTTACGGCAGTGCATGGGGGACAGCAAGGATTGTGTTGCCGACTGGACGCCGCGAAGCGGCGTGTAGGGGGGGGGGGGGTGCTAAGTGGGATAATAGTTTAGTAATTAGCAGCCGCACACTGTCGCCGCGAAGCGGCGTGAATGCCGGCGCGGGGGTGGTTTAACGCGCTTCGAATGAGAAACGCGCTGTCCGAATCCGAAATTTAAGTTCCCGCGCGTTGCTGAGCAGCCAATCCGGCGTGAGCGTCGTTGCTAGGGTTCTATCGCCTGCGCCGTAAAAGGAGCCAGTGACCAGATGCGCCCGGTTCGCATACACAATTGGCCCTCTCCTCCCCCCTCTTTTACAACGCCTACACACACGCGCGCTGTAAAATTTAGTGATGGACCGAACCTGCCGAACTTCAGATACGGCAAAGTTCCGCACATGCCGAAATTTCGAAGGAAAGTTCGCAAAGATGCGGCAAAAATTTGACAAATATCTGCGCACGCGCACGAACGCGACGGGGCCATGGATCGCAAATGGACGCCGCGCAGTCGTGCGGTTACCATCGCACAGTTAAGTACAACCAGCGGTTACGGCGAGGTGTGGAACAGGCGGCACGGTAATTGTGCGTTTGTGAGCTTTTGGAGTGTGGTTCTCTTCAATATTTTCTGCCTCAAGAACAGAAAATCGACCAGTAATTTACGCCGTCCACTGCGCAAGTGACAAATGACGCGGTGCATTCTGGATAACGTGATTTTCATTTGACGTTTCCATTGATGCAACGAGATAGTTGAAACATTGACTGACAACTGACAATTACGCTCAGTGTTCGCAGCCCACTGCCGTCAAACGGGGCAGGGTCACAAGAGCTTGCCACAATGTATGGGATGCAGTTGGCATCCTCGTCATAATGTAATACATGTTTTCTTCCTCCTTTTCTTTCCTTTTTACGTACTTTCTATAGTGTGTATATTCTGTACATTTATTTGTCTGTTTTGTTTTCTCATATGTGGTGGCGGGCTGGCAGCAGACTTGTACAAGCTACTCAAACAAGTAATTAAGTTAAATTACTGAATATTAGCCTCAAAAGTAATATGAGTAGAGTAGAAATTACTCAAATGGAGAGTAATTCACTTAATTACTAATTACCGTAAAAAAGTAGCAAATTACTTTTGAAGTTACTTTCATTCCTTTTTCTATGCTAACAAGGAAGTACTTACATAGGCTTTGATGCGTTAGCGAAATTCTGCTAGCCGAATATAAAGTGGCTTGTGCTTTCACAGAAATGCTTTAATAGCTGGTTCTGCTTCTGCATGCCTAATTGTTGCGTACTTCTTTTTGGTCAAGGATGTACTGCGGATGTATCATTTCATCTTTGAGGTTTAGCACTGCCTGAACTCGATTTTGCAGACAGTGTTTTATTGCTCACAGTGTTGCGTAAAGTACGTCTAAATGAAAACTACTTGGAAGTATAAAGTAAATGAGAGGTTATGTACTTTACGCAACACTGTAAGCAATCAAACACTGCCTGCAAAATCAAGTTCAGGCAGTGCTGAACCTCAAAGGTCATATCATAAGGCACTTGTTTGTATCGGTTTTATCGCCACCGTTTCTTCACTCAGAGAAATGACCACATGACGTGTTGAAAGACAGCACAAGCTATACAGGGGCACCAGATTAACTTGAGAGGGTGCTGCACTTTGTTACCTCCTTTGAGTGAGGATGCAGTATGTGCACCTCGGCGATAGTTTCTACGTTGGAAAGAAGCGGGGACCAGCAATTTCTTCAAAAGGGTCAAGTCTCCTTGAGCTTCGGGACGCAGAGAAACGCCGGTCTTCGACGCCAATCCCGGAGTTACTCGGACCCTCTTGCGTCATGTCTGTTCGCTCCCCCCGCGTCGTAGCAGTGTTGTTGCAGTGAGGGGCTTATTAAAATTTGGGGGGGGGGTTTGGACTATCCAAATCACTTTCTTCCTCCCCCTTCCCCCCTTTTTCTACGCCACATGCTTCCCCCTCTGCAAGTATCAGCTGACCTTCCAACATCTTAACTCTGTTGTGTGACAAAACAACCACTAAAATTCGAAAGTAATTTGTAATTTGAGTAGAAGTGACTCGAAAAAGTAGTTAAAGTAAACTACTAATTACCAAAATAGAAATGTAATTGAATGTTATTAAACTACCCAGAAAAGTAGCTAAACTACAATAACTTGAGTAAAGTAGTTGAACTACGTACAAGTCTGGCTGGCAGGCGCTCTGCGTAAGGGTTTTTACCTATCTGCCTAGCCCCGCACACCACCACACGGGCCCCTTCCAGTATGTGCAAATAAAATTATTATTATTATCATCATTATTATTATTATTATAACAATCCTGTTTTCGGCTCACAAGTTGTTTGTGCCAAAACAGAATAACATTGCGTTTTAGTTCGCGCTATCTTGGGATTTTCATGTATCTGCATGAAATTAAACACAGGACTATCATGCTCAACGTTGCACATTCGACATTCCTAACTCTCCCCAACTTCCTAAACGTCCGTGTGTTGCCTAACACCAGAAACCGGAATTTTAAAGCTTAAAAACGCACGTTGCGAATATGGAACGCTCACTTTCATGCAACGCTGACGTCAAGTGACTCAAATCGAAAAACATTCATATTTACATTATTTCTATTTCTTCTAGTGAAGGTTCAGCAACCGTTGCATTAGTTTTCGCGCACGAAAGGGTGACTCCCAGAAAAAGTAAGAACGCAGTGGTTGCCTTTATTTTAACAATGTAAACACACTTGCAGGCGTGCGCTGATGAAGCCTCAAAATCAAAACTCTCGAAGCGGGATTCGTGACTGCGCCGGCTACTAACCAACCTCGTTATCACGCCACTTTCTGCAAGCAAACACTAAAATTACTAGAAAACAGACAAAAGCGACACCGATACAATTATCTTGTAGAATATCACCTTATTTAGTCATAACTGTGTCAATAGGCACTACATGTTGTATTAACGTTAAGAAAAAAAAAAACTTTTTTCGTCAGAAAAACCTAAATATCAATGTTAAGTCTGGTAACAGTGTATTTTTGCCGAATCAATGCGAAATCTTTAGAAAAGGTCGGCAAAAGTTGCGCCGAATTTTTTATTCGGCGAAATTTCGGTGCATCACTTGTAAAAATATGCGACCCGGGGGGGGGGGGGGGGGGGGGGGGGGGGATGGGAGGCTCTGGTTTGCCCCCCCACTCAAAAACAAGTTGGTGCGCCACTGAAGAGCGGTGAGATGGCTGACTTCTGTCGTGTGTCTGAAGCCGCTCTCTGCAGAGTTCAGTTGTTGATCTAGTCGAAGTCCTCATCTCCACAGAATCCGTTGAGGATGGGCTGTGCTGCAATGCCCCGCCTGCATGCGTGAACAAGTTCTCTGTAAGTTCCGTCCTTGCTGCGCTGCAACGATTTTCTGGCTGTCTGAACTTGTGTGGCATTTGGCGCACGGAAGTTTAGGTTAGAAAACGTTCCCCTCGCTGGACCTGATCTCTAGGCTTCGAGTGAAGGCTTTATTTTGCAAATTTGTTTTCTAGATACTCTCCGTGCACGCAGAAGCCAGTCTTAAATTCCTATTGAGAAACGTAATTGCCATAGTTGAGACTTAAAAGCGTGCCTAACTCGGTGTTAAATCATGCCTGTGTTAAGTATTGCTACGCCATTACACTAAGAAGACAACAAGTAGACATCAAAGACGAATACCGAATATTTCCCGCAAGCAAACGTCTGCATTATGAACGAGTGACGATATTAATATATATGATACAGGTCACATTAACGGATCGTTAAACTAACAGAACAATCCTCCTGTGAACAGCCTTTTATCTCCACGGGAAAGTCACCACAGTAGCAGGGCGCCACCTCGACAACTGGGCCCGAGCCTGACAAACTTTGCCTAGAATTATCAAAGCCTGTGCACTGGAATTCTTGACGTCATCAGAGCGAGATCGAGCGAAGACACATATTGGATACGAGCGCCGCGTCAGTGCTCGGCTGGGCCTCGTGTGTCCAATCAACGCGTCGAAGGACGCTCGGAATCGGGCTCGGGTCCAATGGACCTATTGCTAAATTACCCAAGCATCAAGGAGTATGCGGGGGTTGGTGTTCCACGCGCCCCACGTGCACTCCTTCCCCGTATAAAAGATTCGAAGTAAAGAACCAAAATAAAGGGGTGACAAACGCGCGTGCAAGGGTCCATTTGTTTTAGGTATTTGCTTTAGAAAAGTTACTACTGCTAAGGCCAGCACGTGCGGCGCGTGGAACACCAATCCCTGCATTCTCCTTGATGCTTGGCAAATTTAGCAGTAGGTCATTTGCTGATTTGGCGCCATCCGACTGTGTTATATGTGACATTCCATGGAGGAAGAGTGGGCCGTTCGGAGGCCTTCATTATTCTAGATGCATGTTGGCCGGACACCGAGCGTCCTTCGACTCGCTGATTGAACAGGAGGCACAGCCGAACTCTGACACAGCCCCCGTGTCCAATTTGCACTCGATTCCACTGTGATGACGTCGAAATTTATATTGCACGGTATTTGATTATTCTACGTGATGTTGACATAGGCGCGCAGCTCTCGGACGGGAAGGGTAGCAGACGAAACTATTCGGCCTGCAAATTCGCCTGCTTTCTGCGCACTTCGCGCGTTTGTTTACCCGCCAAATCCACCCAAGAGCTTTTGTGCCTGCCCCCCCCCCCCCCCCCCCCCCCGATCTCGATAGCTGACGGCGCGCACGCTTGGCTGCCTCGTCATTGCGCGTTCTTTTTGCGTTCTTTATGTTGTACTCTGATTGGCGTGTCTCACCTAGCGTTCCCATGCTCTAAACGCGTGTTCTGGGGCACTTGCTCGCCGTATACACTTTTCCGGCGCTTGTCGCCCAGGCGAAAAATGCGGAGTCACCGGGTTGTGCACGTGTGCGCGCCGTCTGATATTCCGCAGACGAAACGTACTGCGCATGCTCGGGACGCGTTCTACAGCCCAGCAAACCGACGACGGTGCGCAGGAAGCGAACCTTATGTAGGGAGAAATATGCGCTGATCACTCACCTCCGCATCCTGCACCTGTGCTCGTCCAGCCTGTACTTGGCCTCTTCGACGTCATTGACACTGGGGCTGCTCCAGAGACGCTCGGCTACCGCCGAAGCCCGGGGCCTGAGAAGGGGACGGTGAATCGCGAAGTCAGGGGCATTCTATAGGTGCGAGACTGATGCAGCTCTAACTGCTGCGACAGCTTGAAGATGAGCCTCTTAAATTAGGTCATTGCATCATCATTAGATGCGGCGCCGCAGGTCTTCGTGGTATATGGGCTACTGGCCTTTCTGCGGAGCCGCGGCTCTGCTGTACCGAAATAAATAATACTAATGTGAATATTATCACGCCGCCTCGATAGCTCCGAGGAAAAGCGCTGGTCTATGGATACCCAGTTGGCGGGTTTGGATCCCGGCCGGTGGTGCCTGCAGTCTGATGGAGGCTTGCTGCGGAGAAGTCGCTGTGTAGCCGAGATTTCGGTTGCTCGTCAACAGATCTTAAAATTGTTAAAATTAATCCTCAGTCCCTCGCTGGTGTGTGCCAGATGCCCTTCGTTGATTTGGCACGTAAAACCCCACATTTTACTTATTTTTGTAGCAATTTGAGCTTGAAAGAGGGGGGGGGGGGGGGGGGGGGGGGAGTGTGACAGTGTCGGAAAAACGCGTTACTGCTGCTTTTATAGTACGCGTGGTACGTTCCGAAATCTTCCGAGCCAGAACACTCGATGACAGCCAACAATGGGCTAGAACTTTCCAGAAGAGTACAGATTAATAAAAGATTCATTGGTGGATCCTTAGGGAATGCGTTAGCATGACCCTTGGGAGACGCCTCACACGTCCCCTTTTGGGAAACGCTAACGCTAACCCTTTCACTTTTCTGTTTTGGCTTTTAGTTCTGGCTTTCTCTTTTGCCTCCCCTATTTTCTCGCTGCCTCTTTTTGGCTTCGTTGCGGGATGTGTGTTCGCGTTTCCCAAGGGGGGACATGTGTCGCGGCTCCCCAAGGGTCATGCTGACGGATTCCCTAACGATCCACCCATAGATCTTCCTTTAGTTTTTTTGTCGCCTACTTGAACCAGCGCTTTACTCCGTTCACCCTTAAGCCGCAAGCTCCGCCTTCAGCGCGAGCTTTCTGCCCTTGCTAACACAAGTGTGAACGCGCAGGCACGCGCAACCAAAGCACTGCGGAAGCCAGCGACCTCGCGCTGAACGCGGAGCTTCTACACTGTTAGCAAGTCCCGTGTATTTGGCGAATATTTGGGGTGAAAAACACGCTATTTACACAAATTACCATAAATTTACACGATGAGTAACGGATAATTCGTTCAGAAATCATGCGAGGTTGTAAAAAACGTGTTTTGGTTCGGTCGTACACGCATAACCGTGTAGCCGACCTCGATAATTCACGCATCGCCCCCGGCGACGACCGCGGCATTGCCGGCTATCGAAGCACCGGAATGCTTGGGGACACACTTAGAAAGGACCGTCGAGACAAATGCCGCGGAAAGAAACATGTCTCGGAGACAGATATGCACCAAAAGCAATTGCGCCATGTCGCAGGACGTTGGCGAAACCCGCGCTTACGTGCTCGCCGCCATCTTCTGGTCGATGCCAATGCGGCTTCCCTCATGTCGCCCATGTTTGTGTTTAGTTTAGGGGTCCTGATAACAGTTTCTTAGACACCACAAATAAAGTTATGGGTCTAATTATTCGTTCCAAAGAGTTAAAATGGATATAAAAAGCGCGTCTTCGATGTGAACACGTGACATTGCAGTTGGTTTCGTTTTTGCTTCAACCTTGAACTGCAAGCGATCTGGCCACGGCGCAAGAGCAACGCCGATGTACGCTGGAAGCAAGCGCCGGTTGGCTTTCGTTGTTTTTGTTTGACCGGAGAAAATCTGGCAAGTACGCATGGCGCCGCTACTGTTTTGGTTTGACGGGACGCGAGAAGCTTCGCATAGAGCTTCGGAGTTTGCGAGCACATAGTGAAGACGTGACCGGAGAAGTGCCCCTGTGATGTTCCTGGAAGACGGAAAGTAGCATTCGTAATCGTCGTGTGTGCTTTGAAAGCGAAGGGAGTCACAGGGTCCACGAGTTCGCAACCACAAGCCAAGGTTCACGACAGCGCGGCGTTGACTTCGGCGATCTCGTTCTGTTTGGTGCAACCCGGCGATACGAAAAAGAGCTGAAACATTCGTCGTGTGTGGTGCAGTGCTTTGTATTCCGGGTCTGTTTGAACCACGCTTTTAACACGGAGCGCAAATTGTTTGTTGCGTGGTGGAGGTTCAACGGGTACAGTCCCGTCGTCGTCAGCTGATCCGGTCCAGCTGGTCCGGGAGGACGCAGCGAGCGTTTTTAAAAGTAAATCTTCCTTCGTTCCGTTTCAAACTGTGGAAGTATCCCGACACATACCGTGAGTAAGAAGCAGCGGGCGTTTTCAACAAAATTACGTTGTTTTAATTGAATAATGGACTCCGGATTGTTGTCTTAAATCTGCCGTTTTTTATGCTTCGTGTTGGACTGCGTTTGCATAGCGACGCACACCGCTCGAGTAGATGATTCGGTCCTGCAACGAGTTTGTTGCGCATCATGCGGCGTGAATAAATTAGGGCAAGGTTTCCTACCTGCCCACAGATGCATGTACTGAGACCATTTTTTATGTTGTGAACGTAGTGCTCTTTCTTTATTTTGGAAGACGCGTTGGTGCATTTATTATGGTACAATCACTTGAGAGTTGAGAAATTGGAGAGCGAGCAAGCTTTCTCAACTTTGTCTCTTTCTCTCTGGCACTGCCCTGTTTCAGTTTCAGTAGGCATATCTACTAGCAGGTACAAATTGCCCTAAAGCAGGTAAAAAACGGGAAGCTTCGGACGGTGCGGACTTCGTGTTTCGCGCTTTTCGCAAGGTGACAGGGTAAATGCTTTTGTGAGATATGCGGAATATGCAAGCGATTTTGTTATGCCCGTCGTTTGCGTCTCTCTAACAAAACGAATAAGATGATCTACTACAAAGGCGCAATCACAAGCCAAGATTTAAGATAGCAGCCGTTTGCTTCGGTGAGCCGCGTAGCTGTATTTTACTCTGCTCTCTGCAACACCGTGTCATGACGAAGAGCTGGAATGGTCACGGTTTGTGCTGGCCTCCCGGTTGACAGAAACCCGCGTCGCCCGCATCGGCACCGAGTGCGCTTGGGCTGTTGATGCTCAAGCCTTTCATCCGCGGCTTGTCGCCAGCTCATCCTGCTGCTCAACGGTGAGGAAGCGGCGAGAGTAACCTCGGAAGTGAATGTAAATCCTCGTTCATTCAGTTATCCGGTGTCAAAGTGTGGAAGATGTCCAACATGTACTGAGGGCGGGAACTACGAGCGTTTTGCCTTGCTTTTATAACCGAAACCAGACCAACGAGATAACTGCCTTGCGTACTCTAAAATGACGGAAGCAATAAGTTTCAACAGGTCGAGTACGTCACCGGGGATGTAGGCGAGACGGTGCACACTGTTTAATAGGGATGCCGCGAACTTTTCTCGAATCGAAGTTTCGATGATCGAATCAAGCGGTTCAAAAGGTTCGAAAGATTTCGATTTTTCGAATTGTCTATATCGTAAAATTCGACGGAGGTAGAATTTTCGAACTTGTTAAGCTAAGAAGTTCGACGCTTTTCGAACCGTCGAACTTATTACGCTAAAAAATTCGATCTTTTTCGAACTTTCGAATTTATTGCGCTGCAAGGTTCGATGCTTGTCGAACTTTCGAACTTGACTGACAAAAAAATTCGATGAATTTCGAACTTTCGAACTTATTTATCAAGAGAATTCGAAAAGTTTCGAACTTTCGGATTCTGAAAAGTCAGAAGTTCGACGAACTTCGAACTTTTAGGGTAAAAGTTCGACGTTTGTCGAACTTCGAAAGACCGGCGGACGGTTTCATTTGATTTCAAGTAGTGGGGTACATTCGTAACTTTTTTTTCTCGAACTTTTACACGCGGTGCTGCGTTCCTTACGAAAGACAATGTCGTTTATTTCAATGTTCTGGCATGCTTAGGTTTAAAGAAATAAATCCCCGAAGGGGCGAGGAAGGACGACGGGTTTTTGACGATTATCGTTTGTGCCAGATTTGAAGCACGCTGCAGCCGGAGCTATTTATGGTAGATATGTTATACTTTTTTTAAGAATTATCTATGTATAGCCTAGGTAAGTGCCGTCTTAGGATGTGATTATTGTTATTCAACGTAAGTTTCGAAGAAATGTCCAAACATGTATCTGCATGCAATTGTAACCTAAACTTGATATTTATTTTCGTCTAAGTTGTTTGAGTTATCGCATTTAAATTAACACCACAGACAGTACATATCATTGCCATCTGCAGAATACGAAATAATATATTTATTGGTTTTTCACGTTAAGGAATAAATTAACTCATGGGAGAAGATTTCTAATAGTGTTCAAGTTCAGCACGTTATTAAAAGAAAACTTTTTGTTTTTTCGCTTCACGTTCCTGGGACGTGTTTCTTTTAGCCTGTACACATTTTGGTAAAAGAAACTTGTTTCGAAGCTCTGAACCTCTGAATATGCAAGAATAGAACACTTGCGACGAACTCTTGATAGTTTTCTTTTTTTTTCTCCTGCTTTTTATTCCCGCATTTATTCTTTTTTTTTTTTTTTTGTTACTATCGGCACAGGTGTTTAGGTCGGAAAGACAGCTTTGAACTTCCGAACCACTAAGCATGTGACGAACAGTGCCCTCTGACAACGAGTTTCTAACAATGACCATCTACGCAACCTTTTATGCAGTGAAGAGCGACAGTAGCTATACATATGCATAAATAATTTCAGATTAAAATAAGCTCGACCACGCCCTCTTTCCCCGTATTGTTTTCTTTAACAGTTCGAAATACCTGCAAGGGGGAGAAGGAGGCTGAAGCCCCCCCCCCCCCCCCGTTTTTCCTCTTCCGACGCCACTTGTATGGTAGAACGCTCCTCGACCTCGAGTTGTGTCGGCTTTTGTGCTTTTTGCGAGGCGATTCCTCCGTCCCAGAAAATAAACTTCCAGGACAATTATAAACTTCACCGGATCGGACTACTACCAGCGTGCAAGGGGTGGCGAGCTAGTTTGCCAGGTCGCTTCAAG